TTATTTTGATATATCACAGTGAAAGATTTATCGTCCTCTTTTTTTTTTTTTTTTTTTTAAAAAAAAAAAAAAAAAAAAAAAAAAAAAAAAAAGTTCAGCCTCAATTGCTCCCCCTCCTCAGTGGGAATCCTAAAGGTTACAAAAGTAGAGAAGGGTACCACAGTGGTGGGCACTCAAGGCCCACCAGTCAGAGAATGTATGTCATATGAGGCATGCCTAAGAGATACCAGGGTCAGAGGGTGGCCTGGGCTACCAGCAAGGCTCCCAGGCTTTTACCACCAAGCTCTGTATCTCCCTCCCTACAAGCACGGTGCTAGGAGGAAAGCTGGCATTCAGGATGCCCTTTCCCTACCCTGACCTAAGGCCTTCCCTGGCCCTGATGCCTGCTTTGTTTTACCTAGCTGAGCCCCTGTCTGTAACTGCTGAGACTACAGGAGCAGTTGGATACTTCTAGAACCTGGCTGATAATGGTGGAAAAACCCTGAAGCCTCCTAGACCTGAGTTTGAATCTCCAATTCACTTTAGGCTATCACTAGCTCCCTATTTTTTGTGTCCTCAGATCCACAGTCATCCCCAGAGGCATTGTGAGGGTAAGTGGGTGAGTCTGTCCAGCACTTAGTAAGACTGTATCAAGATGGTGGGCCTAGAGGTGGGCCCTAGCTCCAACTCAGTGGCAGCCTTAGGCAATCAATTTTCCATGCCTGGCCTCGATTTCCCCAGCTTTGTCTCCATCTGGCCCAGTGTCAGTGGTGGTGGTGGTGGGTTCTAAGGAGAGGGCAGAGCTAGGTCCCTAAGTAGGCTCCCTGAGGAAGCTGCCAAGAGGAAGTGCTGAAGTGTCCCCTTGAGAAACCTGCTGGCAGCCCTGCTATAGCCGGTACCCCATGTGCCCCAGTCATTTCTTCACTGTGAATGAGCAAGACCTCCACCCCTAACCCATGGCAAGGCCTCTCCAGAAGAGGAACTCCTCCCACTCTCCCCCACCCAGGTCCCTCACCCAACCCTCCATCTGTATGCTGCCCCCACCAGTTACTTCCTTCTTCCTCTCCTCCCAGCTACATCAAGGCAAAAGTAAAAAGTCATATGCAAATATCCTGTCCTAGAACTCGCTACCAGTTTATGGGGCTCCCCTCCACCCTACCCTCTCCTTCTGGCACCTAGGAAAGGAAGAAGATCCAAGTGAGGGTACACACCCCCAGTGTCATCCCACTTAAACCTTTACCAAATTGGGCCCAAGTTCAGGAGAAAACCAAGTTAAGTCAGTCTTCCCAAGGTCAAAGTCTTAAGGTGACAGTGACAGAATTCAAACCCAGTTCCCAAACCCAAGTTCCTTACTCACCTCAAACATGCCTAGCATTTATCAAGAGCCAACTGTACACATACACCATAAGTTCCCTGTTTAGGGTCTCAAATCACTTGGAAAGCTGGTAATCATTCTGGCCTCAAGCTACCAGCCAGGTGTGAAGTGATTCTGACATAACCAGTCCATTGGTAGTTGAGGACTCAGTGACAATTAGGGCTTCCTTTAGACTTAATAAAAAGGGACAATGATGCTGTGGGATAGGAGACATGTGGGTGGGATGGTCAAAGCCAGGTCAGGATAAGGGTTCTTTCCAGAAGGTACCAGTCCCTAGTCTGCCCATACCATTTTGTGCCTCATCCAGGGCCCAACAAAGTTTCTCTGAAGGTGCCACACTCTGGCCCTGCAAAGCAATGCCTTCAGTAGGCTGAGGCCTGAATTGGCTAGTCTTAGGAAGGGAGGCCTGGCCAGGCACTCCTCACCCCTCCTCCCTGACTGGCTGAATGACGAGGCAGAACAGAATCCGCAGATGCCCCCAGTGGCTCGGAGGAAGGCCCAGCCCCTGAGCTAGATAAGGGACAGGAGATAAGATAGTCTCCTGGGCACTTGAAACTCAGTCTGCCAAGCCCATTTCCAGGCAGCACCTCTGTTGGATGACATGCACTGGGTTGGCAGAGGACACCAGGTGCTGCACCTAGTTGGGGGATCCTCTGAGTTTCCTATAGACTCTACAGGGTATCTTGTGTCCTAGGCCTGGGTCAATCACAATCTTGCTGTGTAATCTGGAATTAGTCTCTGGTCTGAGCCTCAGTTTACCATCTGTAAAACGAGACAGAACAGTGAAGCAGATGACTTTCAGCCTGGATGCCCATTAAGAAGTGAAAAAAAAAAAACTTGTCATCATGCTCCCCCTTCCCCCAGGAGTTCTGAAAAGAAGGATCTTATTTACTGTTTGCCCCCTAGCACCCTGGACAGAGTGGGGTATGTAGGTGTCTAGTAAGTATGTTGCTGAGGTGTGCTGTGGCACTGAGTTTAAGGTCTGGTTCTGTGTCACCTAGGACACTTACAGAGCAGGTGACAAATACCCAGAGTGGCAACCATGTGGAGCTATGTGCTGGCACATCCGTGTGCACACACACTGGGCTCACCAGACTAGCTTCCCAGTCAGGCCTTTATTTTTAACCTTACAATCCTAACATCCCAACATGCTCTGCTTCCACTTATTTCTGTGTACATTTGACCTAGTAGGTCATCAGCTTTTTAAGTGCAAAAATCGTTCCCCATTCACCCGTTTTCAATGTTCAGGGGCTCCTAGTGAGTGACAGTCCTGCTAGTAACATATGGGTCTAGAAGTTTCCCCCAACTCGGTAAGGTTGTCTACGCAAAGGTTACGTTCATTCATTCTCCAGCGTTTACCGATTGCCAACTTTGTGCTGCCCAGGGCACCTGGGCCTGGGGCACGTGGGGCATCTTCCTGCTTCTCACCTAGAAGAGGCCTCCAGACATACTCTCCTCGGGCTCAAGTCCCACTCTTTCTCCTCTCTCTTTCCCTTTCCCCTTCACCTCCCACACTTGCTGCAAGGGCGGCGGCGCGACCCCGGCCCCTTCTGGACCCCGGGTTCCGTGGGCAGGTGCGGAGGAGGACAAGCCGGAAGGGCTCGCGCCTGCGTGAGATTCGGGGTGCAGAGCTCGCTGCACTAAAGGATCGGGAACTGGGGCGCCCCGCAGAGTTCGGAGGTCGTGCGCCCGTGCTCCCCGCACCCGGGCCTGGCTGCCCGCGCGCCTGCCTCACCTTCCCGGGCCTTGAGTAGCACCGTGTTCGCTACGATGTTCTCGAGCTCCATGGGCTGCAGCGCCGCCCGGCCCGCCAGGCCGCGCCGCCGGCCGCGATCGCCCGCGAGAGCCGGGGCCGATGGCGATCGGCGCGGCTCGTCTCGGCTCGCACTGACCGTGCCGTGGCCTCCCGGGCCTCCACGGCCGCCGCCGCCCGCCGCGCACTCTCCGCCCCTCCGGGGCAGTTCGGTGCCCGCCCTGCCCCGCCCCACCCCGCCCTCTGTTTACTTTGCTCAGCCAGTAGCCGAGCGGACGCTCCCCGCCCCGGCCTCCTATTGGTTAGTATCTTTCTCAGCCCCGCCCACTGAACGAGGGGGCGGGACCAATCGCGTCACCTCTTCCTGGTTGGACTGAGGGCGGGGTTCAGCCCCTTGTTTCGAATTTCTAGACTTTCGTAGGACACTGAACTGCCAATTAGGGTCGAGCTCTCCGCCCGGGAGCTGGGGGAGGGCCCTCGGGGCCACGCCCAGGAGGCCAGGATTATGATTGAATGATGGAAGCGTCGGTCATTCCGGCAGTGCAATCTGATTGGGTCATCAGATGGGGGAGTGGGCGCCCTTGGCTCGCGGATGGGTTTTCTAGGGTTTTGTTGTGGCCACGCTCCTCATTCTGGGCCTCCAGCGAGTTAGGCGGGACCTCGGTTGGGACGTGTGGTCTTGGGTCAGGTCTTTCTGACGGGCACATATCCGAAGCGAGTCGAGGACGGAAGGAGGCTGCAGCCTCGCCAGCGGCGCGGGCCTCAAGTCCGGCAACAGCCCGCACCCCCGCCCCGCCTCCGCAGCCGGATGTTGTGATTTCTCTCCACCCATTCAGCCTCGCTGCCCTAGGCCTCTGCTGCCTTATAAGGCAGTGCTAGCATCCCAAGACGTTGGGTAATGAGCTCACACCCATTATACAGGTGTGGAGCTGAGGCGCTGAACGTTAAGTGGCTGGCCCCACGCCGATAATAAGAAGGAAACAAGGCTGAATTTTTAAAAGTTCATCAACACTTTATAGCTCAGTACCCCACTTCCTCCACCCCACTTTGCACAGAAGGAAACAGAGGCTTTGCCCAAACTAGGGGAATAAGGAAGAACAGGATTCTACTAGGTTTCTTGGATCAACATTCATTCGTGCAAAAATGCTGCCCTTGCTTTGTCCCAGGCACCCTGTCAGGTGCAAGATACAGTGGAGTCAGCAAGATAACCAAACTCAGTACTTAAATGCTAGAAGGTGGGAATAAAGGTGGTAATAACCCCTGTAAATAAGCAAATTAACGGGTGGTCTTAGAATCGTGCATGCTGTTAAGGTTGTAGCTTTGTGGTAGAGTGTGCTTACCCTTGCCCAGTGCCCTAATGACATTTGAGTAGACCCAGTAGGAGCAACAGCAAGTGCAAAGGCACTGAGCCTAAAGTAAGTGTGTGAGGGAAAAAGCTTGGGCAACTTCAGGGACCAGTGATTTGAGGTGAGACAGAGCAATGGTGACAGCCAGATCATGGAGGACATTGTGGACTGCAGTGAAGGGGTTTTCTTCAGTGAAATGTGAAGCCCTTGAACTGAGCTTTGCATTTTCAAATGATTGCTCTGACTAGCAGATTCTTAGGATCAAAGATTCTCATCCAGTGAAGGCTGATGTATCCAAGTGAGCTCTGAGGGCCGAGTTGAAAATGTGCACATTTCAGGCTAATTGAGAGGGAATGGACAGTGCCTTCTGGATAAAGCCTGTTGTGTTTTCAAAAGATCTGTAGAGGGGGTGGCAGGTGAGTTGACAAAGATGAAGATCTGAGTTTGATTCCCTGGATACACATGGTAGAAGGAAAGAACCAACTCCTGGGAAAGTTGACCTCTGACTGCACCTGAGCATTTGGCTAGTTTAAAGGTGAATAATGGGGTGGCTTCCTGGAAATGGCCTGGATCAAGGAAGTCCTTAGGTTTCATTTTGAGGGCAGTGGAGAGCCATGGGGGCAGATCTTAAGTAGATCTTAAGGGCTCTGGCCTGCATTGTGGGGTGGGATATGAGCGGTAAACATCCTGTTTTGGCATCTGAACATCCTTCTATTTAAGAGAAATCCGATGAGATGCTCAGGTAGGGCCTGCCTCTCACTAAGAAGATCAAAGGCAGCCATCGTGGTGGCACTTGCCTTTAATCCTAGCACTTGGGAGGCAGAGGTGGGCAGATCTCTGTGAGTTCAAGGCCAGCCTGGTCTACATAGTGAGTTCCAGGACAGCTGGGCTACAGGGAGACCCTGACTCAAAAAGACCAAAAGAAAAGAAAAGAAAAGAAGATCAAAGTCAGAAGACAGAAATTTGTCTCCTAGATCCCTGGTAGCATAGCATGTTTCCAATATTCTAGGCAGGGCTTTGACACCAAAGAAGGGCTCAACACAAAACATCTGGAAGATCTCTTAGAATTTATTGCGGTGCAATGGAGAGGGAAGGGATAGGCAGGGACATAGGCATTAAGCCAGCCCTTTCTGGCCTGAGGAATTCAGCCAGCACCCCCCAGAGCTCTCCAATTTGTTCCTGATCTT